GAGACGAAAACTAAGCATGTCTTTTCCTCACACACATTCCAGCGAGTGCTTGAAGAGTGAGCTGGATCTCTTCTCATTACTTCCCACCCAAACCAGCATCGAAAGTTCGCAATGGATTTATTACAAGCCCGTCCCCATAGGACGACGTCCCCATAGAATTCGTCGTACCCGAACATGGAGAAGAATACATAGACCTCACTCACACCATGCTGTCGCTTCGCGTGCGAATAGAAAAGAACTCGCTGGCAGGAGTTCAAAGAGACGACGTCAAAGTAGGCCCCGTAACCATTTTCTGCATTCGTTGTTCAACCAAAACGTCGTATATTTCAATCAAAAACTCGTGTCGCTCCCGAACAACGCTTACGCCTATCGCGCATACATTTAGGCGCTATTATTTATACGCTACTCCGGCAAAAAGATCGCATCTAACTTCGGCCCTGTAGTATAAAGATACCACGCAGCATATGGACGCTTTATCAGGGGCAGAGGCGGGGCGAGAAAATGCCGGGCTAGAGTGGCGTACCACGTTTGTACGAGACGAACAAGCGATAGATCTCATAGGACATCTTTATTGCGACGTGTTCAATCAAGATAAATTCTTACTGAACGGAGTAGAAGTGCGGCTGCGGTTTGTTTGTTCGAAAGATTCCTTTTGTCTCATGGATGTTAATGGAACGTCGAAAATATATATTCTAGAAGCTAGTTTACTCATAAGAAGGGTTAAAGTAAATCCCGGAATATTGCTCGCCCAACCGAGAATGCTAAACAAACACACCGCCAAGTATCCTCTCACAAGAGTCGAAGTTAAATCTTTCATGATTCACCGCGGAGTTGTGGGCGAATCGCTGGATAATGTTATACTTGGACAATTACCAAAGCGAATAATAGTCGGTTTTGTCGATAATAAAGCATTTAACGGGGATAGAAAATTAAATCCGTTTAATTTCGACAATTTCGGCATAAATTTTTTCTCTATATATGTCGAAGGTAAACAAATTCTTAGTCAACCGTTACAGCCCGATTTTTCCCCCGCGGTACAACTCTACGTCGAGGCTTATCATTATTTTTGGGGACCGGTATCCACTTTTTGAACGAGGGTAATGGAATAACTAGAGAAGAATATTTAAACGGGTTTACTCTTTTCGCTTTCGATCTTACCCCTGATCTGTCCACCAATTGCGCGGGACATTGGAATCTCGTAAGACACGGCGCTTTACGGCTGGAAGTACGATTTGACAGAGCCTTCACTGCGACGATTAATTGTATCGTCTACGCAGAATTTGACAGTGTATTAGAAATCGAATTCTTTCGTCAAGACATTATAGATTACGCCGGCTAGGAAACAAACCCCCCACAGCTTCCCCCACCATCTTCTTGTCGGACGTCTGCGACTCTTTTGAAAAAATAGCTCTACCCTGGACTGGATTAGACATTTCTCCTCGAGAGCTTAACGCGGCAACTTGTGCGAAGTAAAAGATCCCGGCAAACGTTGGAAATAGGTGAATATGGAATTGGTCATCGACATGTAGGCTTTTCGGGATAACGACGATAACTTTACGGCTAAAGAAGTCGCCGTTGTCGCAGTTCACGCGGCATACACGGGGCACTGGATTTTACGACCGCAATATCCGTTTGACGCATTGAAGGAAAAGACAAGACAGCAAAATTACTGGCTCACAAAAAATTATCACGGGATCGAGTAGTGCGACGGAGAAACCGATCCGAAATATTTGTTGCAGCACTTGCGCGAAATATCCAGAAACGTCCGACGTATTTACACCAAAGGCAAAGAGAAAACGGATTATTTGCGTAATTTACTAAGGAGAGACGTATATAATCTCAAGGAAATCTCTCCCTCCTTCAAATATTTGCCATCGAGCAAGCGCGATATAAAGTGCATATCACGGCTATTATGTGACAGTGTAGGGCTCTGATTTTTATTGCGCGTTAAACAACGCCAATAAATTAAAAGAGTGGTTAAAACGCGCGAGAGCAGTGCAGGGGTAAAAACGGGGAGCAGAAGAAGTGGGAAGAGGTTGTGAAGAAGAAGAAGAAGGAGGAGGAGCAAGAGGAGGAGGAGGAGAAGAGGGACAGGCTCAGCAGCATCAGTGAAGTGAGCATGGAGTCGTCCGCCCATAGCGTAGATTTTTGCTATAATTTCTGCCCACCCCAAACAACAATCCCTTCGTCGGAGGAAGCCGCAAAGAGAACCGTCGAAGGAATACAAACATCGAAAGATAGAACGAGCGGCGAAATAACAGTGATCATATCCAAGGTAAATACTTGACATACGCCTCTATCCTGTCAAAATTAATTCGCTCGAAATTCTACAAGCGATTTAACAACTTGATGTTAGACACTCAGGTCTACCCAACCGACCGAGTAAGGTGTGGACGAGGTCGACGGCGATAGTCGCTAATACCTACAATCATGATCGTCCGGGACAACACTGGGTCGCCTTCTACGTCGATAAACATGGAACGAGTACATACTTCAACAGCTACGGGCTGCCCCCGATCGACTCCAGATTCCTTCTTTGACTTAGAAGAAATTCCATCATCCAACGATGGAACACTACCCGGCTCAGGGATATTCGGCACAAACTTGCGGACATTATTCTTGCGTGTTTCTTTATTATATGTGCCGCGGTTATAATCTTAATCAATTTATTAGCTTTTTTTATACCGATCAAGAGCGAAACGACCAAATGATTGTAAAATTATTCAATAAAATATTCTCTAATTATAAGCTTAAGTGCTCCATACTCCATACTTCTCAACATTACATTCAATACTGCACTTCCAAATGTACACGAAATAAGTAGAAATGTATTCATGATTGTATGTATAAATAAACGATAGACTTTTTCTTTTAAAAATATTTCTTTCTTCGTCCCCCAAAACCGAGACCAAACACCGCATACCCATAGCTGTCCAGACCTTCTTTCTCCTTCTCCATCTATCTCGCTCTTCTAACATTCGGCAAGCATCTTTTCGTCATAATTTTCCGGTAACGTCTTCCCCCTCAACTCTTCTTGACGTAAGCAACGATGCGGAGGAGGGCAGAAAGAACCAATTCCCGTGAATAACCATAGCTGACCACTAACGAACCAATAGATCCTCCTTACTCTTTACGAGGAGACATCTGTCGACTACCCTCTCCCGTTAGCTCCCTACCTTCGCCTAACATTCAGTAGGACCCTTTTCGTCTAAATTTTCCAGGTCGCACTTAGCATTCTCAGCTTCTCGACGTAGGCGACGAAGCGGAGAGACCCCCCAGGTAAAAACCAATCCACCTGAATAATCCCACCCGATTTACAGTGAGGGCGACATACCGTCCGCCTCCACTTCCAATATTAACAATTTTTTATTCCACATATTACCTCCTCCACCGAACCTGCAAAATTCCCCCATCATTCCATTCGGGACCTTCCTCCACTCTCGACTCATCCCAACCTATCCCCCTGGGACTCTTTCCCCATCCCTCGACACACTGGCGCCTGGTTTTACCCCCACCACCAAAAAATAGGTCACGCCCTGTCTCACGGAAGCTGTACATATACTATTCGCAGTATATCCACGATCATATTTCATAAAGTTTTTAAGAAGCAGTAGTTTCAGTTGGGAAATGATATATCATTTAATTAGCTTTGTACAACCCAATTATACTTACCTGACCTATATTCAGAAAAGGTAAATATATAAAAGAGTATATTAATTTGCCAATGGCACCTTTGTTAACAAGAATTCTAACAACGCAACAGTCGCCGGAAATATAATGGGCAAAAACGCAAAGAAAAACAAGGATTTATCCTTAACCAAGGAGACAAGTATGGATTGTAACCCAGATTCAGATACGATTTTGACAATCATAGGCGTCAGCAGTCGAACTATCGATAGACATACGGAGGCGAGAAAAAGAAAAATCTCTCCAGAAAGTAGTGTCTCACAGAACAAAGCAACTAAACACAAGGGCACAATAAACGAGGCTTCAACAACACCTACTCAAGAGGAAAATTTTTATGACGGATCATGTAGAGCTCCTTTTTATGTTTTGGTAAAGAAGATAACTGAAGCCCGAAGAAACCAGGGAAAATAAATATTGAGGTCTTCCGTTTTTTTCATATTCTTGCGCGCGATCACAGAGGGGGGCGCGCGAACGTAGCATGTAGGCAAGCGAGCCGAAAGGAGTCGAGAGCGCTCTCTTCGCGCGTAATCACGCAGCTGGTCTGACCATCCATTTCCGAACATCTCTGTATAGACTATGGAAGCTTAAATATATTTCGCAGTTTATCCAAATTACACGGCTTCAAGTTATTTTTCGATACACCTACCCTGACAAACTACAAAAATTAACAAGTGGCGACGAGGATGGGATTCTCGGATGTACGGGAATACGCGAAAGTGAAGTGGTTCTTGAGCTAACCTGCAAGTGTCGTTCAAGAAAAGCACGTGGTGTTACAGCAGTGCGTTTCGAACGGAAAGAGGAAACAGCATTTAGGAATTGAACAAATCTCGAGCGAAGTCTGAGAGATGATGGTGCAAACCGAACAAAGCAGTCAAATCGTCGTACAAAACGCTTTGCAGGTGGAATTTTACGATTCCAGTAAGAATTGGAAACGTTGGTTACAACGATTGGAGGGATCGTTCAAAGTATACAAGGTCCAGGCGGACGAACAAAAGGTCGCATACTTACTCCACTTTATCGGTACAACTGCATTTGAAACATTATGCGATCAATTAGAACCGGTGGATCTTTACATTAAGACGTACAAGGAGCTGTCGGATAAGCTGGGAACCTTCTACGCTCCAGAACCCTTGGAGATAGCAGAAAATTACAATTTTATGCAGAGAAAGCAATTAGCGGGGGAATCCAAAAAGATTTTCTTGCCGCCCTACAGAAGCTGAGTATCCACTGTAAGTTTGGAGCTTACCTGAATACAGCGCTAAGGAATCAATTCGTCTTTGGCCAAAGCAACCGTCGAAGCTCGGTTGTTGGAGATGAAGGATCTAACGCTGGAGAAAGCCGTCCAGATAGCAATCACGATGGAGCTAGCGGAAAAGGGAGCTTTACAAATATCTACAGATCAACCAGCGCAAGTGGATTCGTTACACTTCAACCAACAGAGGAAGACGAGCAAGATGCAACCGAAAGAAAAATTTTTAAGTTTGAATAAGAATAATAATAATGATAAAAAAAATAATACGTACAATGTAAATAGTAGAAATAATAGTAAATTTAATGTAAATATTTCCTGTTACAGATGTGGCAAAGGGCATTATGCTTCCAAGTGTGCTCTAGATAGGAATGTGAAGTGCCATAGCTGTGGAGGTAAAGGACACCTCAATAGTGTATGTTTCAAAGCAAAGAGCGCTTTAAATCAAGTAGAGGAGGTGCTGGTGAGTGAACCAGCTACAAATAAGCAACGTCGCGACTTTCTGCCGGAACAAGGCGGCTGTCGTGGTAAAATTTACACAACTTTACAGGTAAACAAAAGAAAGATCCGTTTTGAAATTGATAGCGGCTCGGCGGTCACATTAATATCAGAGAAAGACGCGCGTATGTTTCCATGTTTGGCAGTTAGGCCGACAAATCTTAAGTTAATCTCTTTTTGTAAACAAACGTTCACACCGTTAGGATACGTAATAGTAGAGGTTATGTTTAAGAATTCAACACATTGGTTGAATATGTATATAGTGAATACGGATCGACCTCCGTTGCTAGGTCGGGAATGGCTTACCCAGTTACTTACAAAAGATGAATTGAATCATTTCTATTTACAAAATGAAAATGTTTTTCAATTGAATTCGAGAAAAGGACATGAATTACAGAATTTGCTACATAAACATACAAAAGTATTCGAGTCGGGGTTAACAGCCATTAAACATTTACAAGCAAAACTCACATTAAAAAGTGATGCAAAACCTGTATACATTCGAGCCAGACAGGTGCCTTTCAAAATAATTCCACTTCTAGATAACGAAATTGATAATTTAGTTAAAGAAGATTTTAGAAAAAGTAGATTCTTCGGATTGGGCCACACCGGTAGTACCAGTACTTAAGAAGAATAATCGCATTCAAATATGCGGTGATTTCAGTATTACGATAAATCCAAACTTAGAAATCGATGATCATCCGTTGCCATCTGTAGAAGAATTATTCGCGATCGTTGCGGGTGATAAGGAATTTACAAAAATCGATATAAAAGAAGCTTATTTACAATTAGAAGTTCGACCGGAGGATAGACATCTCCTTACATTAAATACACATAGGGGATTATACCGTTGCAAACGACTCCTTTATGGAATTGCTTCAGCACCAGCTATCTGGCAGAGAACCATGGAGAACATTTTGAAAAGCATTCCTGGCGTGGCGGTATTTTTAGACGACGTAGTCATTACAGGTAAAAACGATGAAATACACTTACAAAGAGTGAATACAGTTCTTGAAAGACTTTCTTATTACAATTTACGAATTAATGTAGAGAAAAGCGAATTTTTCAAGGAAGAAATTAATTATTGCGGCTACATTATAAACGAAAAAGGAATACACAAAGATCCAACGAAGTTGGAAGCAATTAAAGGAATGTCAAAACCTACAAATTTGACAGAATTACGTGCGTTTATTGTATTTGTTAATTATTACGGTCGATTCATACAAAATTTAAGTAGAATACTGTATCCCTTAAACAAATTGTTAAAGAAAAATGAAAAATTTGTATGGAATGGGGATTACGATTTAGCTTTTACAGAAGCAAAGAAAGAGTTTTTGAAGGAAAACTTTTTAGTACATTACAATAAAAACTTACCTTTAGTGTTAGCTACGGATGCAAGCGCATACGGAATAGGGGCGGTGTCGTCCCATATATTTCCGGATGGGATTGAGAGACCGATCCAATATGCGTCGCAAACGTTGACTGACACGCAAAGAAAATATTCGCAAATAGACAAAGAAGTTTACGCAATAATTTTCGGATTAAAGAAATTTTATCAATATCTATATGCGAATAAGTTTACGCTGATAACCGATCATAGACCATTAACGCAAATTTTCTCTCCGCACAAAAGTTTGCCCTTATATAGTGCTATGCGTATGCAACACTATGCAATTTTTTTACGCGGATTTAATTACACAATTAAATATAGAAAAACTGCATTACATGGAAACGCAGATGGTCTGTCAAGGTTACCCGTAAAAAGTTCGAGAGGAAGCGAATATGATGTAATAGATGTTTTTCAATTAGAAACTATAAATACTTTACCGATTACGATGAAAGAATTAAGAGATTGTACATATAGAGATCAAGAATTGAAAACATTATTATTAGCATTACAAAATGATACAAATTTACCCGGAAAGGATAGATAATTTACCAATAGAGGAATTTTCAATTCAAAAAGGTGTTATCCTTAGAGGGCACCGAACCGTAATTCCTAAAATATTACGTAAATGAATACTTGAGGAACTACATACAGGCCATTTTGGAGTAAACAAACTGAAAAATTTGGCAAGAAGGTATTGTTGGTGGCCAAACATGGATAAAGAAATAGAAAAAGTAGTCACAAATTGTGCTGCTTGTAACCAATTCAAAAAGAATCCGATCAAGATCAAACATGTTTGGGAACCAGCTGAAAATCCATTTCAAAGAATTCACGTGGATTTTGCTGGACCTTTTAAAGGACACAATTTCTTTATTCTAGTGGACTCATACACAAAATGACCGGAAATTCACATTATGAAAGATATCAAGGTTAAGTCTACGATAAATAAATGTTAAGAAATTTTCGCCACATTCGGAATTCCTCAAATACTTGTTTCTGATAACGGAACTACATTCAAATCGAAAGAGTTCCAAGAATTTCTGAAGGAAAACGACATAGTTCATAAAACTACAGCACCGTATAATCCGGCTACAAATGGTCAAGCGAAAAGATACGTACAAATATTGAAAACTGCGTTAAATAAAATGAATTGTAATACAGGTAGATTGCACGAAAATGTACAGAAATTGTTAAACCAATATAGAATAACACCGCAAACTACAACCGGTAAATCACCTTCAGAATTAATTTTAAGCTATAAAATTAGAACACGATTAGATTTTATGAATCCGCTTAAGACTTACAAAAACTTACAAAATTCAAATTTGAAATCTGATGAAATGTGGCGTAATTTCGAGGAAGGAGAGAGAGAGTGGGTGCGAGAAATTATAATGGTAGTATTAAGTGGAAATTCGGTAGAATAAAAAAGAAATTAGGCTACTTACATTACGAGATATTATTAGATAATGGCCAAACATGGAAGCGTCACGTAAACCAGATTTGTAAAATAGGGGAAAATACATCCCAAGTAGATCAGAGGGTAATAGAGTATGACTCTGGCTCTATTTTAGAGGAAGAGCATGAAATGCCACCACCTCATTCGGAGGATTCCGAGAGATCGGAACCACAGCAGTTAGTTCACGAGGAACAAATTACACACGAAGCAAATGCCCCGATGCCACATCAACCGGGCGAAACGCCACCACGACGTACCTCGATAGCTGTAAAAAGGGTACGTGAAAGTTCCGAAGGAACGCCCGACGAAGCACGCCGGAGTCCTAGAAGAAAAAGAAGGAAACCTTACTATCTTAGAGATTACGTACGGCAGTAAGTTTTTTGTTGTGCGAAGGAAGAGTGTTGAGGTCTTCCGTTTTTTCATATTCTCGCGCGCGATCACAGAGGGGGGGCGTGCGAACGTAGCATATAGGCAAGCGAGCCGAAGGGAGTCGAGAGCGCTCTCTTCGCGCGTAACCACGCAGCTGGACTGACCGTCCGTTTCCGAACATCTCTGTATAGACTATGGAAGCTTAAATATATTTCGTAGTTTATCCAAATTACACGGCTCCGGGTTATTTTTCAATACACCTACCCTGACAAACTACAAAAATTAACAATAAGGAAACATCATCCTTAAAAATCGCTAGAATATTATATAAATCTAACATCAGATATAAGGTTTGCAACTCCCACAGTAAGAACATTTGGAAACTGGCATTCGAATCCAGAACAGATGCCAATAATGTTGTGAACAATCCGTACCTTAAGAAAAAGGGTATGGATGCATTTATTCCAAGATCCATGTTATACCACAAGAGAGTAATAACTGGAATTCCCTTAGACGTCACTATGGAGGAAATTACTGAAATCAATACGATTAATAAAAATTTGAAGGTATCTAACGCATTTAGGCTAAAGAAAAAGGACAAATCAGAGGGCAAACGGGTTGATTCGGCCACTGTGTGCGTAGAATTCAAAGGTCAATTCATACCAGATTCGATTATTATATGGAAAACTATAGTTCAAATCAAATCATATTTCTCATTTGTTAGGATTTGTTTTAACTGTGGCCGATTAGGTCATATAGCCAAAATGTGTAGAAATTCCAAATGTTGTCTCAATTATGCTGAAGTCCATGACACAGAGAGAGGAAATTACGATGCCAAGAAGAAATGTGTTAATTGCAGCGGAACTCACTCCGTAATGGATAGAAACTGTCCTGCAATCAAGAAAAGAAGAACTATAATAAGACGCATGGTATCAGACAATATCTCTTTTCAAGAGGCTAGCAGGCTTATCAAGGGAAATACGGATAACCTGAATCTCAACCAAAAGGATATCGTCCCACTAGTCAATAACTCCAACTACTCTGTACTACCGAGATCCAAGAATCTGCATACCTTTACGAAAATAGTTAAGGGCGCTCCACCCCAAACAAACTCTACAATAAATAATATCACTGAAATAATGGAAAAAATCTTAGGCACTTTTTTAACTAATTTAACCAATCTTTTATCAAGTAAGATTAATATTACAATACCAGAGGTCCAAAACCTTATAAAATTGTAAAATTATTAACTATCTATACGTATATAATGGCTTCTACAAAAATTAAAATTATATAGTGGAATTGCAAAAATATAATTTTCAAAAGATAAGAAATTACGAAAATGTCAACCAGTACTGATATATTTTTATTTTCAGAAACTTAACTAATGGAAGAAATGTTCTTTAACATTCGACATTTTGATATAATAAGGAAGGATCGACTGCACAAAAAGGGAGGAGGAGTAGCGATAAGGTTAAAAAAAGGTATTAAATACACTATTCTCGACAATTTATATGATTGCGAAGGTAGATTGGAAGTTTGTGGGATTCGCCAGTATCTCGGGGATAACGATTTCTCTCTAGTTAATTTAAATTTAATTTTAAGGGAATTTTAATTCAAGTAATAATATTTGAAATAATAAATAAGTAATAATAATAATATATAAGTTATTTATAATAGATAGAAATAAAAATAAATAAAAACACTCATTAAAAAAATATATATATATATTACTCACCTCCGTAAGCAAACTTGGATCTTACGAATTATGAAGCAAGCACCTAACTCACGAAGCCAACTGCACTGGTTGAAAGTACAGTTACCGGGAAGGCTCATATGGCGCGCCGCGGCGCGCTTCGGATATGGCCAATTTTCACAAATTTATTACTCCGATCTCTTATCATGCTACAAACCTCCCAGGACTCCATTGATAATGGCAGCTTCTTGGGAAAAATTTTTCAGTCAATTTCGGGGTAGAGTTATTATGGGCGGCGACTTCAACTCCCATCATGAGAGTTGAGGGATTATACTATCTGTCGATCCGGGGAAAACCTGGCGGAGATCCTGAGTTTTTTTTATTTGGTGGTGGCAAATAATGGTTTATTTCACATTTTTCGATACCATTCATAAAAAAGAATCGATCCTAGACCTTACAATTTGTGACTATCAAACAAATCTAGAAATTACTTGGGAGGTAGACAGGGACCTGCACAGTAGTGATCACTATCCAATAATTATGGAGTTTGGTAATAGACTCCGATCATACAAAACTTTCAAATCTTCCAATAGATTGCATACTAAGACTACAGATTGGAGTAAATTCTAAGACTCTATAAATGCATCACTTGAATCATCGGAGTATAACAAAAATAACTTCCGTGATTGTTCAAGTAGGTATATAGCTTTCATGAAACTAATTAGGAATTCACAAGGGGAAGACCAGGTGACTCACCTTGAGATTTCGACCCCAATTTTTTTAATTATTCTGGAGATGAAAAAAAAAGATACGTGTCCAGGCGTTTGATTGAATAGGCCTTAGTTTCGGAGTAATAAATTTGTGAAAATTGGCCATATCCGAAGCGCACCGCGGCGCGCCATATGAGCCTTCCCGGTAACTGTACTTTCAACCAGTGCGGTTGGCTTCGTGAGTTAGGTGCTTGCTTCATAATTCGTAAGATCCAAGTTTGCTTACGGAGGTGAGTAATATTTTTTTTTTTTTTTTTAATGAGTGTTTTTATTTATTTTTATTTCTATCTATTATAAATAACTTATATATTATTATTATTACTTATTTATTACTGGGTGTACAACTTAATTCGGTCCGTTTTTTTGCTTTAAAAACGCATTTATTTGAATGATAAAATGAATTAATACATTATTGAAAATATTGTCCATCGCTAGCCACTACTTTTTCCCATCTTTCTGGCAATTTAAGGATTCCGTCGCGGAAGAAGCGTTCATCTTTTGAAGCCAAGAATGAATCGAGCCAATTTTTGATACCTTGTTCTGAAGTAAAGTGTATTCCAGTCAAAGCGTTCTGCATCGATCGAAACAAATGGTAGTCGGAAGGGGCAAGGTCTGGGCTATAAGGCGGGTGAGTCAGAACTTCCTGTCCGCTATTTTCCAAATAGTTTTTAACCGGAACAGCAACATGAGGCCGAGCGTTGTCATGGTGAAAGATTATGGACTCGTGTCTGGTCGCATATTCTGGACGTTTTTCGGCTATAGCTCGCTTTAAACGGATCAATTGTCGCCTGTAGAAGTCTCCCGTGATGGTTTGACCAGGTTTTAGCAGCTCATAGTGGATCACACCCTTCTGATCCCACCAAATACAGAGCATTACCTTGGCATCATGGATATTCGGCTTCGGCGTTGATGTTCCCGGTTGGCCGGGCTTTACATACGATTTTTTGCGTTTCGGGTTGTCGTAGTGAATCCATTTTTCGTCCCCGGTAATGATTCGATGCAGAAAAGACTTCTTTTTGTACCGTTCAAGCAACATTTCGGACATGCAAAATCGTCGTTCGATATCTCTCGGTTTCAATTCGTATGGGACCCAATTTCCTTGCTTTTGGATGTATCCCGCGGCTTTGAGTCGTTTCGAAATAGCTTGTTGAGTAACTTCCAATGTTCTTGCGAGCTCTTTTTGCGTTTGACACGAATCTTGATCGAGTAATGTTTCTAATTCTTCATCTTCAAACTTTTTCGGTTGACCCGAACGCTCTTTGTCTTCAACACTAAAATCACCACTTTGAAATCGTCGAAACCATTCTCTGCAAGATTTATCCGACGGTGCAGATTCACCATAAACTTCCACAAGCATTCGATGCGCTTCAGCTGCACTTTTCTTCCAATTGAAACAGAAAATCAAAACTTCCCGCAAATGGTGCTTATTTGGAACGAAACTCGACATTTTCAACGCAGTAAAAATTAAACTTGTTGTGCAAAACTCAAAGGCTTGTAAACAATATTTGGTTGACAGATGTTGACACTTCACGATACAGCAAAAATCAGCTGTCGCCGTCAACCATTTATAGCACCTAGAGCCATCTTTTGAAAACGGACCGAACCAAGTTGTACACCCAATATTTCAAATATTATTACTTGAATTAAAATTCCCTTAAAATTAAATTTAAATTAATGTTTAGAATGTGATATTAAATTAAATTTTTTATTTCAAAAATTTGCATACTATATCAATATCATCAAAATAAATAAAAATAAATAAAAACACTCATTAAAAAAAAATTATTGCTCACCTCCGTGA